TTACGATGTCAAACGCGTCATGCCCACTGGCCGGCTGGTGCACTGGGGTGTTGGGGCAGTTTTTGCTGCAATTAATTGGTACTACAGGTGGGCCAGCTCTCATATTGACAATTTGCGACCCCTGTAGGACTTGCGCTAAGGTAAAGTGGATGAGGTGCTTACCTACGATCTGTCTTGCAAACTAGCGTTGTTGCCCCACTCCCAAGAATGACTGGGAGCTTCAATCTTTACTGCTGAAGACACGTCTAAACGGTACACGCCATACTGCCATGGCAACCTTTCTAACGATCCACGAACATTCTCTTTGAGAAGGTTCCTGATGACCATCTCTGTGCATTCCACTATTTCGGCGTGTATGTGAACCACAGAAATTGGGTTACCTAGAACAGCGCGTCTATGCTAGACTATATCCCAGCCACTTGACCGCCAGCCCCACCCCACAGGCCCCCCCACAGCGACCACGCCTCCCCCCCCCCACCCGACGCCCCCACGCACCACAGAGTCAGACACCCCACACCGGACAGTAGACGATTGAAATGCAGCGCCCGTGACTCACCTCTACTGCGCCAGCAGACTCATCGTATTGAGTGATGATCCTCCTGTTTACACTACGCCTGTTACCTGCGCACAAGTTCCTACATTGGACATCTCCCCTTAGCAGTGTATATTAATTAAATTGTTCACCTCTTTTCTCCTATTACTGTTATCCCTTTCCAGCTCACCACATATATTCATTTTCTTGCTGAGATCGGACACATAATCAGGCATCGTGGGAAACTTCTCGATTGAGCTACCAGGAGGCGCCAGGACAGTGGGACGAGTGGATCTAAGGCAGACGCAACACTACTACTGCGTTCCTATCGCCAAGGCTCTGTCAGCGGATGTGTTGCGAACACAGGCAGCGACGGATGCTGTGCGATTTCGTGGTAGGAAACGATTTTAATAGCGACTCTCCGTCGAGAAGTTTGATGAGAGATCAAAAGATCTAGCCAGGTACTGTTGTACAGGTGTAGATCTACCAGGTATGTTCGTAGCAGGTGTTAGATCTTACCTAGGTAGGTTTACAGGTGTGATTCTACCACGGTATGTTCGTAGCAGGTGTAGATCTATCAGCGTATCGTTGTACAGGTGGCAACTACAGGTGTGTCTGTACAGGTTTTGGATCTACCAGGTATGTTATAACAGGTGCGATCTACCAGGTGTGTGTATCAGTTGTAGATCTACCGGAGTTGTGTGTTGTAGCAGGTGTCAGATCTACCAGGTATGTTATACAGGTGTAGGATCTGCCAGGTATTGTTGTACAGGGTACGTGGGGGGATCTACCAGGTGTGTCTCTGTACAGGCTGGGTGTAGATCTTACCAGGTATGTTGGTACAGGTGTAGATCTACCAGGTATGTTGTACAGGTGTAGATCTATCATGGTATCGTTGTGCAAGGTGTAGATCTATCAGGTATGTTCGGTACAGGTGTTTAGATCTATCAGGTATAGTTCTAGCAGGTGTAGATCTACCAGGCGTATTGTTGTAACAGGCTGTAGATCTACCAGGTATGTTATTGCAGGCCTGGTAGATCTGCCAGGTTGCTTGTACAGCGTGTAGATCTACTCAGGTATGTTGTACAGGTGTCTATCTCGATCTGCGAGGTATGTTGCACACGGTTTCATTCATTTTTAATTTAACAAATTATGCCTCTCATTCTCATGCTAAATAAACACTGCAGTGGTTAGAAGTCACATTTGAATCAAACTGAGCAACTAACCGTCCGAACTTTGTTACAGATCTACGAGGGAACAGCACAGATCCAACGTGTGATCATTGCACGAGAACATCTGGCTAGTGCACAACAGCAACGATGAATCACACGTCTGTGCACAGTCGAGTTTCCCAGTTCATGTTGCGTTTCCGGGAAGAGGAGAATTTCTAAATTAGAAGTAAAATGTCAACACTATATATGAAGCATATTGAATAGATTATCTTCTATGTGTTCTAATGATGTCTTTTGTAATCAGCAGGGAAGTAATGTATATATACTGTGCCTGCAAGGCTTGGTTGTTTCTGAGCACTTGTATGATTTCTTATGGTGTGAAGTATTTCTAATGAAATTGTGTCACAAGAATTATTGGAGTGTTATCTTGTTTTCATTGTGTTGGAAATTGTTTAAAAGATTATTGTGCTAAAAAACAACATTCCAGTTTTTATATACATATATATATATATTATTTATTTCACAAAAATCTTAACATGAACAGTAATTATTATTGATATTTGTACATCATGTGTTAAATTTCTACCATATACACTTTCTCCACATGTGAAATATGTAAATACGAAGGTGGTTTACAGCACAAATCTGTAGGTGTGGTATAATAAGGTGCTTCACATACTGTTTACATTAGTAATACATAAAGAAATAACTGCAGTTACTTGAGATTTGTTGATGAAGAGATAAAGTGATGATTGAGATTCATTGAGATATAGATGGGGGTGGTGGAGGGGATATCCGTAACATCATCTAGGGAACTACACATAACGCTGACGTAGACTTTTGGTAGACGTAGACGTATGGTTCACTGAGTCCCATCTAGCAATGCTCAATCTCAAATTAATATCAATGCTCATTCTCTGAAAAAGCTGCTTTCGGATGTAACTTGCAGACAGTTTGTGTTAAATAGACAAACACCAGCTATATGAGTCTAGGTACGACCCCTGGTGGTAGTAGCTCGTAACTACGACCCCTGGTGGTGGTAGGTGCTAGGTACGACCCCTGGTGGTGGTAGGTGCTAGGTACGACCCCTGGTGGTGGTAGGTGCTAGGTACGACCCCTGGTGGTGATAGATGCTAGGTACGACCCCCTGGTGGTGATAGATACTAGGTACGACCCCTGGTTATGATAGATGCTAGGTACGACCCCTGGTGGTGTTGGGTGCTAGGGACGACCCCTGGTGGTGTTGGGTGCTAGGTACGACCCCCTGGTGGTGATAGATTATAGGTACGACCCCCTGGTGGTGATAGATACTAGCTACGACCCCCTGGTGGTGATAGATACTAGCTACGACCCTTTGGTGGTGATAGATTATATGTACGACCCCCTGGTGGTGATAGATTATATGTACGACCCCCTGGTGGTGTTGGGTGCGAGATACGACTCCCTGGTGGTGTTGGGTGCTAGGTACGACCCCTGGTGGTGTTGGGTGCTAGGTACGACCCCTGGTGGTGATAGATACTAGCTACTACCCCCTGGTGCATGG